GACTCAAGTCAGACTGATAGCAATGACGAAAGTATACAATGCTGAAAACTAAAAGCATTAGTTAAATTAAAATCTAATTTCTAAAGAAAATGACCAATGGTGGACAGGAGGCGGAGTGCAATACAGTTCGCAACAGTGAACTCTGTAGCTACTCTAATGTAACCTCCATTTCTTCACAACCTAACTGATCTCACTACTTAACACCTATTTCTTAAAATTCTTCCCTTAAAATAATCTTTTCTACTCCAGATTGATAAAATAACTGTCTGACGGTGCATTTTCATAGCATGTGACATGTTTTATTGTTTGCCCTTTGTTATCAGTACTTACATGTAAGTACTCTGCACCACCATATTGTTTCGGTAGCCCCGATATGGTAATACTCAAGAGGTAACGCCATGATCATCCCTCCCCTGTGACTAGATAAAGTATGGTTACCATCTTAGAAAAAACCATGAACTTCACTTAAATGTTTATAACTTCATCAAACTTTTGCACATAGGTTTATAACAAGTGAATACCTGGTCCAAAATCCTCTAATCTCTCTATTTCGTAGTGATATCTTCGGCTTCAGACTAATTTTCATTACTGTCGTGTGCACCTTCATCTTCTTCCACCTAAGCTTACCTCTAAACAGTTGGTTTTGGATACTTCTTGAAGTAAGTTTTGTAGTCAGTACAAGGAACTCACCCAGACGTATCATGGTTGATCTACTCCTGAGTATTTTTGTGTTCGTGTTTCGAATTTCGCCTGCTGCTAGCTTTTGTTATTCACTTTTCAGGTTTACCTAACCAGTCCTGCATTCAAATGGAATCCTAGAAATCGCATTTGTCAGTGTGCACCATGCCATCAAAACCTTATGATGAACGCACACACCTCAAGATCATGATTGTACTGTCTGTCCCACCTTCAAGAATATTGGAAGATTCAAACAATAACCGAATAATTGCAAATTTCTAACTGAGCCTGCTTCAACACACCTCTTATATGCTATGAATAACGGTACCTAATGTATAATTTAATAATTCCCATTATAACATCAAGAACAAGATATTCAGCGAAGAGACTCTTTTCAACGAATTTATTTTCAAGCTGCACAATCATATATATATATGATATTTTAAAAAATTATATCCTATGAGGAAAACTAAACACCATATGATGATGATGACATTAATAATAGAGCGGATGATGACATAGGCATTTGTGATTATAATAACAATTGAAGTATGAATGAAAACAAAGTAGATTACGTAATGTGTGGCTCATAGAAGGTTTGTAACTCAGACAGGGGTGAAAAAATTGATGAAAGTGGTAAATCAGTTAAGTACTATGTAATAAGATTCGACAAGTTGGTCAAGATGAAATCAATGTTTTCTAAAATGATTAAGACAATCAAGTGAAATAACACCGGAAACTAATCAAAGTGAAGGCGATTATAACAATAATAGTGACAAACAAAGGATATAAAGGTCAAATTAAGGAAGGAGGTGGGGAAAATGATGTAGGGTGGGAAAATGTTATGTCCATGATAAAAGCAGTGATCATGCTTATTTTGTACACACCGATCAGGTTTTAGTTCATGAATAGCTAAAGCCTCCGCTGTTTTAAGGAGTTGAAGACGAAGAGAACGTAAGAGGTTTAGGTGAATTTGATAAATAATTTTAAAGTCATTGTCTGGATTTGTTGTGTGATGGAAGTCAATCAAATGTTCTAGAATCGAACTTCTAACAGACTTTCTTTCACCTTTATAAAACCAAGCAGGAACATGTTCTTGTATACGTGTAGAAAGCATTCTCTAACTACGGCCGATATACCTTGCTAATGTATAGCTTAACATTGTACATAATAGTCATTTCTCATTACCAAAATGATCAAACCTGTAAACTGGTTTATATTGATGTAACCTATGTTGTATGATATATATATATATATATATATATATATATATATATATATATATATATATATTATGACTTTCACCATTTGATTATGAATAATTATCTGTATGCAGATTATATAGAATTTTGATATCGCCAACTGACATATTGTCCAGTGTTGATTGAAGTTGTCTGTAGAATTCCTCCTTCTTCTCTTGCTCTGCATTATTTGTAGGTGAACAGCGTAGCATTGTATGATTGTGACCTTCCTTCCTTCCTTTTGAGTTGAATCTTGCTGTCATGATCCTCATCGTTGAGGAGATTGGTTTCCACTGGATGACAGCCTTCGATGCTCTTCAAGGGGACATCATGATAGCCACTCCATAACTCAGTGTGCTTGTGGTTGTCGTGTGGGTAACAATGTCAGAGTGAATTATTGATTCTCCAGTTGATAGTTTGGAGAGTCCACTCCCATTCCATCTGCTTTCGCAAATTCCAAGCACTTCAATGTGATACCTCTTCATCTCGTTTGCAATCTGGGCTGCCTTACTGGGTTCAAACATGGTGCGGACATTCCATGTCTCCACGTTTACTTTCGCTTTCATCGAGAGGAGAGGAGACACATCGGCTAATTGGCTTCCCGAAGTCTTTCACCAACTGGTGTCATTTCGCCTCTCCGATTCCAGCGAGGAATAATTTTGTTATTATTTTTTATATTTTGTTTGTGCTTTGAAGTTTCTTTAGCGGTTGGATTTGTTTTACGGGTTGGGGTTGCTAGTCCTATGCCCAACCTTCCCTCTTTATGGGGGCTTAGGACCGGCTAGTAACTATTGAACTAGTTAACCAGGTGAGGTTATATATATATATATATATATATATATATATATATATATATATATATATATAATCTGCATACAAATAATTATTCATAATCAAATGGTGAAAGTCATAACAGCTTGTTCCCATAGCGATACTTCATGTAGTCATAACAATGATGAAAAAAGAGATAACTAACTTAACCAGTCAGTTGCTAAAACTTGTTAGATCAAAATTATCAGAAGTAGAAAGATGATAAGATTTTAAAAAATTAATGGATCATAATCTTCAACTGCCTCTTACCTCATTCCTTCCCCTGTAAAACATATGCGTTTCTCAATAGGTAACTAGTTAGTAATATACTGATATTTTACTCATTGTTGAGATGATCTCTATTTTGGCTAAATCATCAATCAGCAGAAAGATTTCATCTATGAGCTTGCACTAGAAGTAGTTTAATAAAATTATGCAAATTAAATCTTTGCGATCATAATCAAGCAGTCTATTGAAAAGATTAAAATATTTTTTTCATATTCGTTAGCGTTAGATGACGTCGCCTAATCGTATTTATTGGAGACATGATTCAGGATGAATTTCCTAAAAAATTCTATGAGAAGCTATAACATCCAGACTCAATTAAGTCAAGTGTAAGGATAAATACTCCTCAGTTACATTGAATGATTGCTATGCTACCCCAAGAAATGGCAGAAGTAAAAAATTGTGGATCACTGGATTACAATACACTTCCTAAATGTCAGTGTATTCACTTCCCTAAAATCACAGCACTTTTTAACATGACAGTTGCTGAAAAATACCAGTGATGCTCAAATATTTCACGATAGGTAAGTGAGTAAGTAAGCTACTGCTAGAACAACTACTACCAATACTACTTTGGCTATTACTGCTAACCCTACTCACATTACTACTAATACTACTACCACTACGCTTACTACTACTACCACTTTGTGTATTCACAAATAATTTCCTTGATAAGATGGGCTTTAAAATTCATCATAGATTGATGTTAAGCATCGGGTACCCACTTTACCATTGAGCCACTGGGTCAAGATTCAATGGTCCACATTTCCTTACTTCAGTTAGCTTGGGAAATGACATGACCTTTATCCAATACTATCACTAAGTCGTTATCCTCGTGTTCGACTTCTTTTAACTTCAAAGGTTACGATTTCTCACTAGGAGTAGAAGAAATCTCATCTCGAAGCAATTCATCACTAGGCACTGTGCCAATTTAATTTGGACGTTTATAGAGATTTCATCTATTTCAAGTTGGTATTTACCGTGTCTGATGTAATCTATCCTTTAATACATGGAATGATATAGCTTATTATGAATATTGACTTTATTTCTCTGATTGAATAATTTTGGTGCCCTCTCTTGTACAAAAAAGTAGCCTGTTTGCACAGAACTCGCGACTTACATACAGACTTGAAGCGTAACGTTACAATCTACTTCTAAAATAAGTCTGCTGAAGTGATCTTCTGCTTGAATAAAAGGCATGAAGTCATTGGAAGTTAAAAAGGTCTAGTAATAATGATGTCCTCAGAAGACTGATTTAGGCAGGAGAACATCAGTGGAAACAGAACCAGTGGGTAAAACTCAAAGTTACAATTGATCCTTCAATACAATAACTGCTGGTTAGAAAGAAAATGTTAGCGAACTCCAGGTGACTTGAACATATTGGCTGTGTGAGATTATTCAGTCAAGCTATATCACTTATAGACCTGACTGTAAACGATGACGATAACTGTCCCGTGTTTGGATAGTCTTAGTATAGCTAGTGAATACCGACGAAAGCGGTGATTGCTTTGCAACTCCTCCTCTCCCCTAGCCTCATACCTCTGTGTCCCCTTACTACCAATCATCAGTCAGCATATAATTGTCAAACCCTAGTGTCAGTGACTGGTACCAATAACTTAACGCATCTAAACACCGTTTAGCAAACATAACTATCATTTCAGTGGGCTATGAAGTTCCTCTTGATGGAGCAAACCGCCAGACTTCTGCACTACTGTGATTAAAATCACATTAATGCTAACACATTTTCCAGTATGACAAGAATATCAATGAAAATAATATGTCTACAGAACTAGCCATTCAAATTAGTCAGAAAATCAAAGAAATACCTGATTCTAGCATACTATTTCAGTTGAGTCGCATGAAATCTTCATTATGATTGACTTAACTGGCTGTCAATTGTCAAATTTATTCCTACTGAAAAAGTATATAAGTATGTATAACTTATTCTCTAATTTGTTTAAACATAAATCCCCCAGAAAATACCTAATGAGAACTTTACATGTTGGTAAAACTTCATCGAATAACCTTTTCTTTTTCATCGTAATATAGCTACTATGGGTTGTCATTTGTGTAACGTGCTACTCCCAACTAGGAGGTAAGCTGAATTTTCCTAAATGAAATACTCTTTTTTAGTAATATTATAATATATAAGATATATTTTTATGCTGTACTAATAATTTGTTTATAATAATCTCTGGTTTTAGAGGCATTAGCTATCGGTGTAGGTATTGCTGGTGGAGCTAGAGCAGGCATCAGTACAGGTATAGTTGTCGGTGGTGGTGGTTATCGTGGTATTCGCAGCTATATGCCTAGGCGTAGACGTTTGGGGATTGACATAAGACAAAGTGCACATGGCGGTGGTAGTTATAATGATTTAGCAATCAGCGGAAGTACAAGAAAGAGAACTGTTAAAAAAGAAATAATTGAGGAACCTGAAGAGGAGAAATATGAAACAGTAATAAAGAAAAAAAGAGTCATTGAACAGGATATTGACGTACCTGAACCAAAGCTACCCGTAGATGATGTCGGAACAACAATAAAGAAAAGAGTTGTCAAAAAAACGTTTAATGAAGATGACTCTGATGGTTATGACAGTTCCAGTGTGAAGACTAAACGAACTGTGAAAAGACGAACAAAAGTCGATGATGACACTTTTGATGACCTTGATAATTGGTGATTCTTATTCAAATTCTAAGTGATGAACATTATTAAAACACTTTTCATATTGGTTGTCTAACTTTGAGAGATTAAGAAGAACTGAAAATCTCTATTTGCAAACAACTTTTAAAATAAATATGATGGTTTACTTTTCTTTGGTTTTTGCATTAATGAATTACACGAATTAAGCCTCAGTATTCAAAAGAACACTAATTTAAATACTAGGAAAGCGGGAAATACACATGTTAGACAAATATCGTTTGTTTATTCCTATATAGTTTTTTTGTAAAGTGTGTTATTATGCCAAGAAGTTAACGTTTCGATCTGATGTAAGGAAGGTGTCATTATGGTCAAAATTTCTACATGAACTGGCTGTTTCTTAAGTCAATCTGCAGTAAGCCTTGTTTCATCCTAGTTTCATACTTGTTGACCCTCATCAGGAGGGCATGTCAGTAAACGTGGCGTAACTGACTCCATTCGGATTATTTGAACCTGCATTAGTCAGTGATAAAGCCATAGACTTAAACACCAGATCATTCGAGCTTTTCTAAGACAACTCGGTACGCGAATAAGTCATCGGTTGGCAACCAACGTAGGTGCGTAGTTCTTGGTGCTTATTACTGATCAAAACTGACTGACAATCCATTTCACCCTAAATGATAATTCTCGAGCCACATGATCAACAAAACACAACTTCAGACAATGATAAAATATGTTTATTTAAGTTATAAAGAAAAGAAAAGATAACTGGGCAGACAAAATTTCGCTTTTAGATGATATCCCTCAATTCGCGTGTACAATCACAACGACAGCAAACATGTGATTTTTAAGGTTACATTCATCATGGACTAATATCACTTGGAGTAGCACTAAAACACTGAGAGCATTGGATAGCTGTTCCTCAGTAGTGTGGGACTCCTTAGCAGTGCTCACTTGTGACCCTGTCAGGAATCTAACTCAAGACCTCCAGGTATCATGGCGAACGCATGAGCTTTTCGGCCACTGGGTTGGTTTCCAGTGGCCCACAGTTTCCCACTTTTCTTAATTCGCTATACGGCACGACTATCCACTAAGGTCATCAGTTGGTATCCGTTTCTGTTCCAACTGGCTGACCGCTACTAGTTACGTCTTCTCACTACAACTTCGGGATATTTATCTCGAAGCATGTCACCAGTCAAGTTAAATCGCCACATAACAAGAGTAGAAAACTGTGGACCACTGAATTCTGACCCAGTTGCTGCAAGGTTAACATGTCCGCCATTACTCCTAGAGGTCTTGATTTGGACCCCCAGAAGGTCGTGAGTGCATGCTTCTAAAGTTCCATTCTAGGATAGAGCAGCTATCTAGTACTTCCAGGCTTTCAAAGGTCTTCAAATGGTGTTAGTTTGTGATGAAAACAACTATAAACCTCGATCTTCATAAACATGCGATTGTTTATCATTTAGTAATTGGTTACAGTTTCACCACTTAACTAGTGTCCCTGATTACAATTAAAGGTTGGTCTTAGAGACAGAATACACTTTCATAGTAGTCTAAAACGGCGTTAACGTTGAAAAAGACGAGATTTTTTTATAGAGTAGACTTATCCTGAGTGTGAAATAGAATTCTTAAGTGTCTGTATGATGAATGTAAAGAATACGAAGTAAACTGACTACTCCCAATGAGAATTATAAAACAAAACCTAGGACCAAGCCAAGGTCTAACATCATAGCAATGTTGCAATTTCAATCCATAGCCTGATGGTCATATTGCAGAAGTGATCGAGAAAAGTCAGTCAGTTCTGATCAATTCGGACATGAAAGGAATATGTGGTGATGCTACTAGTCAAGTGAATCCCCCTTGCTTCATAGCACGCTTACATGGTGATGTCTGGGAACTTTCAAAACATTTCCACTTTACCACTGACATGATAGATTCAAAGAATGTTCAAATTTGTTTTCCGGAAATAAAGATGCTAAAAAATCACATATATGCGCATAAATCATAAATCGACATCGATTAGACCACCACTGAAACATTCGTCCAGTTCTCTCATTTCTTCAATATATGTCCGGTTGACTTTTAATTATGATCCAAACCTCTTTGAAATTGAATTTTGAGGGAGTTGTGGAGATTTGGAAATATTTCAAGTTGTTATTCATCATAGACTGACATCAGTTGGAGGAACAAAGGAAACCTGGGAGCACTGGACAGAACTTGGAAATATGGACCATTGGATTCTGACACAGTGGCTCAATGATAACGCGCTGACCGCGGGACCTGAAGGTCGCGGGTTCGATCCCTGGCGGGGTCGTAGGTGTGCACTGCTGAGGAGTCCCATACCGGGACGAAACAGCTGTCCAGTGCTCCCAGGTTTCATTTGTTCCTCCCTTGAAATTAGCTGATTCCTACAAAATTCAGAATTAAGTCAGTAACTATCTAACTAGTACCATTGGATGTACTGTGGGAATCATAAAAGTAAAAGGAACTACAAATATCTCCCCTACCATAGCGAAAAGTCAAAGAATAGCTTGACGCAGGCACAATTTCTTATATTTCAATTGGAAAAGTTTAGCCTCATCTAGATACAACCTTAAATAACACAGGCGCAAAATTATGAGATTCTTTCTTACCATCTGCTACGTCGCATAAATGAAGTAAACAATAACATGTAAAACGCCTGACATTTTATTGAGTCATAGGTCAACTGAATAGCGTGTGAATGAACTTCTGAGTGATTTCTAACTGTTCACTTGCATTCTCCTTGAAACATATGCCGAAAAACGAATATATGCTCATCTTTCTATTCGTCTGATATACTTGCTTTAGTAAATATGTATGATGTATTTTTGAGATGAATGGGGATTTTTAATTTAGAAGTAGTATTCATCATGGACTGACTGACGTCAGTTGGGGAAGCATTGAAAATCTGGAGCACTGGACAGCTGTCTCGTCCTAGTATGAGACTCCTCAGCTGTTTCATCCTAGCATACTAGGAACCTGAAAGTCCTGAGTTCCACCCCTAGCCGGGCCGTGGGTGCGTACTGCTAAGGAGTCTCATACTAGGACGAGACAGCTGTCCAGTGCTCCCAGATTTTCAATGGTTCTCCAACTGATGTCAGTCAGTCCATGATGAATACTACTTCTAAATATGTATGAATTCGTACATACAGTTGGAGGTGATACATGTTATGTTTACTTTATTATTTTACTACTCCCTACGACCGCTGTCAAAACTCTGGGATCTTCTATTCGATTACTTATAAATAGACAAACTTTATCACCATTATTCCCATTGCTTACATTTGTGAACTGAGTTTTCTTTGTTGTGTCTGTAATCCTCAATGTACGTGGTTATTTTTTTCCAACTAAGAAGTTTGTTTCTTATCTTATCCTATGCTAATTCTGTATTTATCTCAAATTATTTGCAGCTGAGGAGAAGTCGCGAAATAAATATGAGCTCAATTTATCCGGTAAATCTTGTTGTTCTTGTTTTGATAAGAATCAAAGATTGACGAAGTAGAGAAAAACAGTCTTTATGGCGTTCCATGTACAGAGACTCCCACCAGGCTATTTTGGTTTACACCTTTTTGTGGCTGAAATTCCATTCTTTTGCCTTTTCCTTCTCGCATAACTATACTACTAGCTATTCATCAGTACTATTGTCCATATTTCTATTGATATGTTGGATGATTTTAGCCTTATGATAACTTGGCCATAAACTAATTTGTTTACATCTACATATGTTGGTCGCACTTCTGCTTAGCTGCTTACACTACTGTGAATGTTAATTTGTAGACTTTTATTTATCTAATGGCCGTTTGTTTCATCCTTTGAACTTGGAAGTATCCTATTTCTTAGTTAACCTTGCTTTATAGGCTTAAAGGATAGTATATTCTTAACTTCTTTCTGTTGTTTTGATTGACTTCATTCTCTTTTACTTACTGAAAGGACACAACCTAATTAGGTAATTCCATTTTAGTCTGTTTACTAGAAATGCCACACAGTGACACTGAATCATTTACTGGACAACTAGAGTCCTAACCCTTAACAGAAGTGAGAGTGCTAGAGAAAGAACTTAACTTCAATGTAGCCGTTAATGAAGTGAAACCAGGAGATATCATTCCTAAAATAGAAATAAGGTTAAGTTCAATAGACAAGACAATCGTAGATGAGGTAAGAGCACAGTGTGATCTAACACTGAAACGACAGAAGAAACTGAAATCTAACTTACCTAAGCCAGAAAAAGAAGCTCTTAGGAGTCTTCAAAATGATGACAATATAGTAATTTCCGAATCGGATAAAGGCAACTTAGCAGTTGTAATGAACAAATCTGACTTTATCTACAAAGCGGACGTGTATATAGAAACATGAATAAAACAGGAAATTAAGAAATCATTGGATACTATATTGAATAAGGTTAAAAAATCCACAAAGCATCTGATACGCCGTATGAAGCCGTTTTAGGTGAATTAAAATGGTTTAATTCATTGCTGATAAGGAATAATCGAAGTAAAATATGTGGTACTATTAAAATTCATAAGCTCGGTAATCCTATCAACTGTATATTAGATCTTAGAAATACTCCAACTTGCTAGTTGTCTAAATAGTTAGCAATGGTACTGGGCCCAATAAGAAATCACTCAAAATCTCGACTTACTAACGCATAACTTTAAGCATAGAGTTGGTGATATATGAGACAGAGTGAAAAAATGGTTAGTTTTGATATAACTAGTCTTTACACAAATATACCGATGGACATGGCTCTATAGGCACTTAGGAATGGGTTTAAGGATGAAAGTGAGCTTATGCATCTATCAAAGAAATCATGCTTGGATTAAGATTGTATCTAACATCTACAGTTTTTAAGTTTTACAATAAAATGTAGAAGCAAACTGAAGAGTTCTAATGGGATTATCAGTATCCTGTATCGTTGTAGACATATTTATGGACAATTGGGAACGGATTGTCATTCAAGCAGTTAGTCCTGCTCCAAAGATATGATTCCGATATATAGATGATACGTGTACAGTACTAAAA